AATGTACGCGAGCTCACGTGAGCTACTCGCGCTCACGCGAGTATGATTACTCCGACAGACGTTTCAAAAAAAATAACAAACATTTCAAATTAAATCAAGATATCTTAAATTCAAAATTTTTGTCACTGTGAATATATTTTTATTAGTTTTGTTTGATTTTTTTATTGTGATATCTTCACTATTCTTCATGCTACCTTGCTGGTGTTTATTGTTATTGTTATTCTTATGCTGTAGTATTAACTGTTCAGTGTCGTGGTAATTCTTTCCTTAATAGTATTTCTTTTTTTAATGGTTTGAAATCTGGCCCGGGTTGTTCGAAAGCCGGTTAGCGCTAACCTAGGTAATATATTTTTTTTGTATAGAAATATCTTTCACTGCTTATGGTTGTGTAGTTTTAAAATGAATCAACCTCAGAACTGAAAGACAAACAACATAAACAGAAAACTGGAACGAAAAGTTACAAAAATGAAAGTAATCAAAATTCTCTCTAATCCTGGGTTAGTTTAANAACTGAAAGACAAACAACATAAACAGAAAACTGGAACGAAAAGTTACAAAAATGAAAGTAATCAAAATTCTCTCTAATCCTGGGTTAGTTTAATCAGACCATGAACAACCCGGCCTTGGATATTTGAGATTGTGGTGACTTAATTATGTACCAGTATTGGTACAATGTTGGTTTATTGCAAGACATATATGGAGAGACTGTTGCTAAGTTTAAATTTGTTTTACTCAAGTGAAATAAAGTCTTCTCAAGTCGCCTTAAGTCGCCTTAAATCACCTTAAGTCGCCTTAAGTTGCCTAAAATCGCCTTACATCGCCTTAAGTTATGGCAACTTAAGGTGCCAGAGTAGGCCTTAAACTGGAAGGAATGATGAAAATAAGTTTTTTGATCCAGCATATTGGCTCCCCTTTTGGGCCAACCGAAACCAGCCATGTTCAGAACTCCTAAAGTGAAACATCCATTTCATAGTTAGGACCCCAAAGCAAGACCACAAGCAAAATTTCGGCCAAATCGGTGAGGTACTGTGGTCGACCCTAACTCAAAGCTTACAAAGTACGCCTCTTAAGTCTCGGTG